TCTTTGTGTTTTCTTTGTCTGGTTTTGTTATTAGGGTACTGCTGGCTTTATAGAAAGAGCTTAGAAGTGGTTCCTTCCTCTTGAATTTTTTGGAATAGTCTTGAGGATAGGTTTTAGTTCTTCGAATGTTTGGTAAAACTCCCCTATGATGCTGTCTGGCCCCAGGCTTTTGTTTGCTGGAAGTTTTTTGATTACTGCTTCAATTTCTTCCACAGGTATCAGCCTATTCAGATTTTTTGATTCATCCTAATTGAGTTTTGGAAGGTTGTATTTTTCTAGAAAAACGTCCATTTCTTCTAGGTTGACCAGTTTGTTAGAACAGAGTTGCTCATAGTATTTTTGTTACAATCCTTTGTATTTCTGTGGAGTCTTATTTCACCTCTTTCATTTCTGATTTTGTTTATTTGGGTTCTCTCTCTTTGCTTCTTGGTAAGCCTGGCTAGAGGTTCATTAAGCTTGTTTATCCTTTCAACAATCCAGCTCTTGTTTTCATTGATCTTTTGTATTTATTTGGTCTCTATGTCATTTATTTCTGCTGTGATCTTTATTATTTCCTTCCTTCTGCTCACTCTGGGCTTTTCTTGTTGCTTTCTTTCTAATTCTTTAAGTTATAGAGTTAGATAATTTATTACCAGTTTTTTTGTTTTTGTTTTTGTTTTTTAGGTAGGCCTGGAATGCCATGAACTCCCTTCTCAGGACTACTTTCACTGTGTCCCATACATTTGGGATTGTTGTGTTTTCATTGTCATTTATTTCCAGAATGTTATTTATTCTTTGATCTCTTGGTAACCCAATCATTGTTTAATAACATGCTATTTAACCTCCAAGTGTTTGAGTTTTTGTGATTGTTTTTATTGTAGTCATTACTAACATTATGCCATTGTGATCTGAGAAGATGCTTTATATGATTTCCATCTTGAATTTGAAGAGACTTTGCCTGTGTCCCAATATTTGGTTTATCTTAGAATACGTCCCATGTGCACTTGAGAAGAATGTATATTCTGTAGCTTTGGGGTGAAATGTTCTGAAGATGTTGGTTAAGTACATCTGATCTAGTGAGTTGTTTAGTGTTGCTATATCTTTGCTGGTTTTTTGTCTAGAGGATTTATCCAGTGATGTCAATGGGGTATTAAAGTCCCCTACTATGATTGTATTGCTGTTGATCTCTCCCTTGATATCTTCCAGAAGTTTTTTTTTTATTATGTATTTGGGTGCTCCTGAATTGGGTGCATATATGTTTACCAGAGTTACATTCTCTTGTTGTATTGATCCCTTTAGTATCCCTTCTTCTGGTCTTCACTTTGAGGTCTATTTTGTCAGATATAAGTATTGCTACCCCAGCTTTTTTTATTTATTTCCATTTGCCTGAAAAATATTTTTCCATCCCTTCACTTTCAGTCTGTATGAGTCCCTTGTTCTGAAGTGGGTCTCTTGGAGACAGCATATATATATATATATATGGGTCATGTTTTCTTATCCATTCAGCCACTCGATGTCTTTTGATTGAAGCATTTAGTCCATTTATGTTTAAGGTTATTATTGATAGGTACTTGTTTGTCGCCATTTTTATCCTTTTAGCATTTTTTTTTGTCTGCAAAACTCCTGATTTCCCCTTCAATTCTGAATGATAGCCTTGCTGGATAGAGTATTCTTGAATTCATTCCCTTGCTTTGCATCACTTTGTATACTTCATTCCATTCCCTTCTGGCCTGATGTGTTTCTGTTGAGAAATCACTTGATAATCTAATGGAAGATCCTTTGTAGGTAATACTCTGTCTGTCTCTTGCAGCTTTTAATCAGTTAATTGCCACGTGTCTGAAATGGAAACCATCCCCACATGCCATGATATTTTGAATTTAGTTAAAAAAATCAATTTGCAATGAATATTATAAAAATAAATATACTATTCACAATTCAGGTGTTCTTGAATATTTTCAGCTGAAAATTCTCACAAAAAATTACTTTAAAGCTGGTCAGGGCTGCCACTCAGGGAAAACATTTTTTTTTTTTTTAAAACAGATGCACATGGCATGTGGGGAAGGTCTGCTGCTTGTGTCTATAGACATTTATGGCATACAATGGGTTAAGAGTCTTTGTCATTAATGTTTCCCACTGTAATTATGATGTGGTGTGGGTCTTTTTTGGTTTCATCGTTTGGGAACTCTCTGTGCTTGTGTGACTTTTTTCTTCCCCAAATCAGCGAAGTTTTCTGTCACTATTTCTTCAAATAGGTTCTCTAATCCTTGCTCTTCTTCTTGTCCTTCTTGCACCCCTATCTTATGTATATTACTTTGTTTCATGTTGTCCCAGAGCTCCCTTAGGCTCTCCTCCTGCTTTCTGATTTTTTTCTCCAATTGCTGTTCAGATTGGGTGTGTTTCTCTGCCCTATCTTCTAACTCACTAATTCGGTCTTCCAATTTTTCTAGTCTACTGTTGAAACCTTCCATCATGATTCTTATTGTGGCTATATCATTCTTGATACTTACATAAGTTGTGGATTTTCTCATTTATCCGGTTTATGAACTGTATGATCATTACTCTGAATTCTTTACCTGACATATTGCATGCTTCTGTTTCATTCAGTCCCCCCTTTTTTGGTTTCCTTTTTTCTTTCCTTTGGGGGTTCTTTGTCTTCCAATTTTTGCTATCACCAAAGTGTCCAGGTGCAGAGTTGCATGGGGCCTGTGGCGGAAGCAGCGGGTTTGGCGGGTGGGTCGCATACCTTGAGAGTCATAGGAGAGCTCAGGTGCCAGATGTGTGAGGCCTGGGGCCAAGGCGGTGGGCCGGTGGGGAGGGAAGCACACATAAGAACTCACAGGAGCCTGTGTCCGGAAAGGCTGGAGTCCCGGTGGTAGCGGGAGCTACCGTCTAAGAGAGCCTGGTTGGCCAGCCCCCGAAAGTCCTGCAGGATATAACTGTCCCTCACTCACATCCACACACACCAC